CCCAGTTGGCTTGATATTATAAAAGAATAAAGGAATATCACACCTAAATTAAATAAAACGTTCTGCTCACAGTAGTCACTCTTGTGCAATTTGCACAACAAAATTTTGAATTTTTTTCCTTGATCCGATCCGTGATCCGATCCGTGATCCGGTCCGTGATCCGATCCGTGATTCGGTCCGGTCCGATCCAGATTTTGTCGACGCCGCTACCATCTGTGCTACCTACATGTCCTGCGAAACGCTGTAGCACTAGGCCTTTTAACGCTGTGCAAAATTTTTTCTGGTTTAGTTATAAAATGACATGTTATCATATCACGTATTCGACGAAAAAAAGAGTCTTTATTCTCAGTCTGCATTTTGTACCTAGTCCGCAGACTGCAGTCTGCAGTTTAGTTTGTACCTAGTTTGCATTTTGTATCTGCAGTCTGCATTTAGTACTGACCGCTAAATTAATGATTGCACAGGTAGGGCAAGTCCAGTATGTTAGTATACAGTGCAAGAGTTCAACCCTAATTAATAGATGGAGCGTAGTTAATAATTAGACATGACCTTCGTTGTGAGAGGTTGTATGAGAAATACTGCTGTCGCTGTAAAGTGTACAAAACGGGCGATAAAAACTTTCCTTTAAACTCACCTAAGTTGTCTTCTTGTCGTTTCTCATGATTTTACAGCGTTAAAAACTTCTTGGCGGGTTACCTTTTGTGAGCAGGTCGGTTTTCCACCGCAGTTAACCCGGCGTTAAGACGCCTTCAACGCTGTAGAATCGTAAGAAACAACTTAGGTGAGTTAAAGGAAAATTTCATTGCCCATTTCCTACAGTGAACAGCGACAAAAGTATTTCCATACAATCTCTTACAACAAAGTTCATGTCTAATTAACTACCTCCATCTAATTAGGGTTGAACTCTTGCACTGTATGCCGATATTATGACGCTCACATGCTGAGCTTGGGCTACCTGTGATGATTGCTGTTAGTGCCACGCAACAGTGACAAACTCCTTTAAATCTTTTCTCCTTAAGCATCCTTGTGATAGCATGACTGTTTCAAATACAGTGGAATCCCGATTTTTGGAACCTCCAAGGGAAACGAAAATTGGTTCGCAAAATCTGAGAGTTTGAGAAATCGGGGGGTAACCCGAAAACACTGACACCCCGTCCATGGGCCCCCACTACGGACCTGGTCCGCGGCCCACATGTACCTACGGACCGGTCCACGGACTACCCCTACGTACCCCCTCTACGGACCACCCCAAATATAGAATAAAATTTCCCTTACGGACTGTCTAATAGATTACTCGTGTCGGTGAAATTTCGAACGTTACGTTGTGCAAATTAAATGTTACAGATTTGGCGGGTTCAGACTCGGTAGCAAGTTATATCCTTAAACACATTGCCATTTTCTTTGCTGTGGCTATGAACTCGTTCCAGGCTTCACAATTTGCTCAGCGGAATTACAGATAAAACAAGCAAACGATCTAAAAACACATCTTCCATAGCCACAATCAGATTGAGCCACGGACGGAAGGTAACAACTTTCCTTTTTTTTTTTGCCATCGCCATCTCCTTATGCCGAAAACAGCTTTTAGATATTATTTTGAGGGTTTTAAAAGCCCAAGTCTGTTACATTTGCACAGCGTAACGCTCGCTATTTCACCGACACGAGTAATCTATTAGACAACCCATAAGCGAAATCGTCATTTACCTTTTTTTATTCTATTTTTAGGGTGGTCCGTAGAGGGTGTCCGTAGGGGTAGTCCATGGACCGGTCCGTAGATTCCGTGGACCGGGGGTCGGTGTTTTCGGGTTACTCGGTAAAATTACAGTGTTCGACTGAGGAGGGGAAACGATTTTGGTTCGAGTTATCGGGAGGTTCGAAAATATGAGGGTTCGAGAAATCGGGATATTCCACTGTATAATTTGGTTTTATCAACTGGGTTGACAATGTGAATTGGTTACCGTGAAGAGATTCGAAAGGTGACATTTCGAGCGCTAGCCCTTCGTCGGAGCGAATCCAAATCCGATTCGCTCCTATGAAGGGCTAACGCTCGAAATCTCTTTACGGTAGCCAATTCACATAGTCATTATCAACCCAGTTGATAAAACCAAATTATCTTGTTATTCTCCCCACCGACGCAGCACCACAGTTTCTTTAGAAACTTACCCCCTCTATTCCACTGTATCGCAAGTTGGCTTAAAAGGCTTTTGATTTTCGGCCGGAATTAAATGTGCTCCCATGTCATTTGCAAACGATGTGTTCGTTACACACCTACCTTTGTCGTTGACAGGGCCCGCTGAGCACTTTGGCTCGCTCCCACAAATCCTAGCGCGAAGAAGCGCATGCAAGATGGCGAAGTCCAAGGGAATTGCAGACCACTTGGCAGAATTTGTGGGGAATGAAATTGATTGCCCCGTTTGTTTGGAAGTATTTGATGAGCCCAAGTGCCTTCCCAATTGTGCCCACAATGTTTGCGTTAAGTGTCTTAAAAACCTAGCGAAAAGAAATCGTAATGAGCGAATAATCCAGTGCCCAGAGTGTCGAGTCAAGTCGACCATTCCACCGTCTGGAGTGACTGGTTTTCCTACCAACCACTTACTAAAACGGCTTATAGAGAATTCACCCGAGAGAAAAGAAAGACGTGCTTTCAGTGAAGCCCTTAAACAGTACAGAGAAGAGATAAATGTCATGAGGGAACAGTTCGAGGAGCTCTCAAGGTTGCGCAGCGATGTGATCGAAGGTAGCAAAAGGAGAATGAAAGATCAGATAAGAGCGGAAGCTAAGCGTCTAACCAAGATGATCGAGGAGGAACAGAAAAGACTGTTGTCCCACGTGGATGAAGCCTTTGGTGGGAAGGCTACCAAAACTCAGTTTGAAAAGAAGTATGATGAAGTCAAACAGCTCTACGCCAAGGTTTCAACTTCTCTGGAGACTGCAGACAAAATTACAGATGAACATGACTGGAAGACATTCCAGAAGTCAAAAGGCATCTTTGAAGAACATTTTCAAGGTAATTTTAAGACTCTAGGAGCCACAGTTGCTAACTTGCGCAGTCTTCAGTGTACAACTGGTGTCAAGTTTAACCCTGGGAATCTGCCCAAATCAGGCAAAATCCTTGGTGAAATTTCTTGTGATGAAACTCAACCAGATAACTCCATGTCAAATGGACGTGTCATTCGTCATATTAACATAGACTTTGTTCCAACAACACTGACAGTTTCACCATTGACTGGTGAAATTGCTGTTCTTGATGCAGAAAGTAGGCGTGTTCATGTTTTTACTTCTACTGGAGATCATCATAAGCAGTTTCATATCAAATATGGTAACCTCAAGGAAATCGGATATACTAACAACAGTGATATTGTGGTCCTGAATCAGGAGAAGAATCGCCTTCTGCACTTTGACAAGGATGGGGCTTTCATTCATAAGTTTGTCCAGGCCCCAAATGCATCTGTAAGGTTTCAGAAGATGGCAGTGGGTGGGGACGGCCGTTATGTTCTTACATCCAGCAGTGACACATCTGGGCCTGGTGTTGTAGTGTATGATGCTGAAAGACGCCACAAGTTGGCATTCACATCTGATCTTTTCAAGGGAAATAACGTGGCTGCAGTACATCACAAGGATAAGTTCTATGTTGTCGACTGCACAAGCACAATCAAGATCTTTGATAACAAGGGGAAGTTCCTTCAGGAAACAAAAAGCTTGGGTGGTAAGACAATCAAGCTTCTGTCACTGGCAGTGGATTCCCTGCATGAAAACTTGGTGTGTGCTTCTGACAACAATACCATTCTGGTTGTTAAAACAGATGGGAGTGTGGTTACTACTTTTCCTATGGGAGGACGTTTGAATGCCATTGCAGTGTCCAAGGGTTGTAACAGCTTGGTGGCTTGTTTCCACGAGAAGAAGTTCTTCCAAATTTTGTCTCACAAAGAGTGATCAGTGATTGCTGCAGAAGATACAGTGTAGTAAAAGATCTATTTTTGTTATAGAAATGACAGTTCTTGTTATATTTCAGAAATTGAGATCTTTAGGAAATGCATAGTTTTGACATATAGTAGCTATTCACTGATGTAAAGAACATCAGAGACACACTGCTAAATAATTTAGACTTTGATGAGAGATTTAGCCAGAACCAGAGTGCATTTTATTATTTTGTGGAATGTGAATTGAATTACTCTTGATTATTTTTCTCTTGAAATTTTACTGTAAGCACACCGTTTTGTTCCTTTGGGCAGCACTTATGTAGGTTTAGTTGTAATGTCTACAGACTAGGTTATGCGTTTCGTTGAAAAGCTGTATGGTAGTACAATACAGTACATGTATATATAGTGATCAGTTTGGTCATACAGAGTAATTTACCAGTAAGACCTCTCCATGTTAATATTGATTTGAACTTGGATATCTGGTACATGTACATGAAAAGTTTGAGATTTACCGTAAAACTTCGAATTAGCGCCCGGGGAGCTTATTTCAAATTTAGGATAAGACGGGGGGTGCTTATTCAAGGGGGGCATTTATTCGAGGGTTATATTAGAGGGTTATTATTCAAGGGCACTTATTCGGGGCTAGAGTTATTTCTTCTTTTTTCCTGCCCCCTTCTTGGCTGGCTTACTTAATTTTTCCCAAATCGTAGCCTGACATGATCATTTTTATAATACATCATCTGCACGTAAGCACCAACATAAGCTGTTTATTGACATAAAAAGCTGATCCTATAGTTTAAATCGCAGCACCGTTAGTAATGTGTTCACTAAACATGTTCACAAACTGAAACAATGTACAAATCTAATACTGCATGACGAAAACTATACACCCTTTGTTGTCTCATTACTCGTCCAAAAAAATAAAGTAAAAAAACAAGTAAATTTCGGCCAATAGGAGGGGCGCTTATTCGAAGGGGGTGCTAATTCAAGGATTTACGGTAAGTGTACTGAAGACTGCATAAATTTATACTGCTAAAACACTGAGTAGCCATTTTCCTTTCTTGTGCTTTCCATTCAACCAAAAATTCCAGAACTTCTGAAATGTGGACAAATGGTAAGGAAATTTCCTTAGAAAGGTGCCAGAAATTGATTGGTTCTCCAACAACATCCTTTACACCTATTTGTCATGTAATAGGCCATATTTGTATTCTCGGTACTCGACTGGACCAAGCTTGCAATGGAGGTTCATACAGGGAAAAAATCGTTAAAAAGATGTTTATTCATTTGCATTTGAAAAGACCCCCTGCATTAGCCTCGCTTGCAAGCTAGTTCAAGTCCAATAACAAAAATACAAATATGGTATAATGGCGCATGATCACTTCGGTATCCAGTCATCAACATCATCATCATCATCATCATCATCATCATCACAACATGGTGTTATGACACCAATAGTGTGAGTATCCAGTTACGGGTACTAATTACAATTTGAATGGGGCATCTTTGCCACTCATCTTCAATGCGTTCCCACTGTTATTTTGCCATTCAACAAGAAAACTACCTGCTATGCTTTCTAAGAATCTGTTATCGGCAGCCTTTTTTGTAGTGGTTTAAATGCACATGTATGTTGTCTGTAAAACATTGGTTCATATAAAAGTGTTTATTTTAGCAATAGACAGGCATTGAAAGTGTTAGTAGCAACTATTGTGGAAAAAATATCTAGTTCAGACTGGTATAGGAAAAAAATATCTTTTAATAAACTCTTTAAATAACAAACATAAAAGGCTCTAATAACTATAAAAATTAATGTTACAACAACAAAAGTCATTCCTAAAAAACTTTCTCAAATTTCTGTATATCTTATGATTGAACTTCAATTTCTTTTAACAAACTTATAACTTACATACTCTATAATTTACTGGTTTTCTGTTTAAACTGAACCATAAGTTACTTCTCTCAGAAAGGTCAAATACTAAGAACACATTTTAACCTGAGCAATATCTTTTAGAATTATTAAGCATTTTCTATAAATATTCGATTTGAAGAACTGCAAGCACACTCTTCTATTTGTAGAACTATAAAGCACTCGTTTAAGAACTTTAAAATGAGCTATTTTGCTTAACTTTTTAGAGTTTCTAACAAAACTAATAATCTTTTGAAATATATTGTTTTCAAATTTCAGTCGATACTATACCATGCATTATTACACGATTAAGTTAGTTCAGAGGACCAATAACTAAAAATCAACCAATCAGATTGCTCCATTGCCAGTCAAATATTCCTGAGTATGGGAATGGGCACCATCTCATGTGATCCCGCAAGATCACTCTTGAAGTTTTTCGGGTAGTTTTAGTCATGTAATAAGTCTATTATTAACCATGCTTGCTCAGGACCTTACTGGTAGAATATTGGCCCTCTGTCTTTTTCGTACCGAGCCTTGCTGTGCTTGGTCCGTACTGTCAAGACCTAGAGCTGATATTCTTCCAGTAAGGCCCTCATGCTTAGTTGATATGATAATTATATATTTGAAACTTAAACTTTTCTTTTGGCCTGTAAAGATCTCAGTTTTCTCAAATTCTCCTCAGTTAGCTGGTCTCCGGGCCGTAGTCTGAGTGCTTTCATGTAGCTCTTCTCTGCTTCATCAAGTTTTCCTTGAAGATGCAACATGGCTCCAAGATTCATATGGGCTGCAGGATTCTAAGAACAAACCAACATGTTTTACTGCTACAAAATAATGTATGTCATCAACTTGGGTAGTAGGTTTTAAAGAAACTGTTGGGCTACATATGCCATTTAAATTGAACCCCAAAAAGAGACCAATCATAGCATGGCTTGAGTTTTCTTGACCCCTAAAAGGTACCACTTCAAAATGGACAACATTTGTTCAGTACTTCTTCAAGTGCAACCCTAAAAGATACCTTGAAAGCTGAAAATAGTGGCATTTTGTCCCAAGCAACCTAAGTAAGACCAAAACCTGTGCTTTATACCCCATCGCATATTTTTTCACAGAGGAGTCCCCCTCCCTGGGCCAGCTACATGCCCAACCTTTATGTACAGTTATCTGGCATTTGTTCTTGATCAGGCAGTTTTAATTATGCAATGTTGAGTTTGAATCTATACCAACTAGCGTATTGCTCCCAGGAATTTCGCATGCTGCCACAAGTAAATTCTCCTCGAACACTTATTTATACTGTGTAGGTGAGAAATTACTGGCCATGTGTCTTTATCATGCAAGACAATGTTTTGTTCCATGAAAATGTCCATACCCCTTCCGTGGAAGGGTTTTTGGTTTGAACCACAGAACCCATGAGCACCCCTGTGGAAATTCCAGTTTAGTTCCAACTCTTTCCTCTGGCTTTTGAAATCCTCCTCCCCCCTGGAGTTTTCAATGACCCCTCCTTAGGTGGGGATCATGGTTATTGCTGGTAAAGTGGACAATGATAATTTACCTCTGGATTTAACTGGACTGCTGTCTTATAACATTTTTCTGCCTTCACATTGTCTCCAATTTCTCTAAAAGGAAATAATAAACATCAAAATTGAATCATCCTTGGACTATGTAAACTGGTACATGTAGATCAAAATGAAAATAGTTCAGTTCTGAAGTTGAAGCACACAAACTGCATCAAGCCAGCCTATTTTCTTGTTTACCAAAACGTACCTAAGATATCCAGCAGCAGTAAATGCAATCTCAAAATCACCAGGAGCTAACTCCATTGCCTTTGTAAACATTGCAGCTGCCTCAACCACTCGCTTCTGATCATACAAAAACTGGCCTGGAAGAAAACAAATATACACAAAACATTAACAAATATCAACAAATAATAGATTGGCTCTGTAAAACACTTTTATTCTTTTATTTCCATGTAAGCTGTATTGATGACAGTATAAATAGATATTCTAGACCTGGTTGTTCGAGAGCTGATTATGCTACTCCAGGATTAAAAGTTAAACAGAGTTCTAATTTCTCTTGAATAATAATGTTTTCATTGTCCATGTTTCCTGGAGTTTACATAAGTCAAAGCCAAAATTGAGGGACCAAACCGTTAAACAAAAAACTTTTCTGAAAAGTTACAAAATTGAAATAAAAATTTACACTAATCCTGGATTAGCTTAATCATGCTTTGAACAACCCAGCCCTGGGGTTTTGTCTCACTAAAGAACTAAATTTCTTAAGCAGAACCAAACTCACCTAAACGGCTAATATTAACCTACCATAATGAGTCCAGGAACCGTGATCTGATTTATTCAACGCCTGTGCTTTCTTAAACCAATCCTCTGCTTCAGTGAAGTGGCCCTAGAAAATGAGCATTTAATGATTGCTATTGCTATATTACACTTTAATTTCTATCTTTCATTGGTAAGTCATTTTATTCTGAAGTGTTAGTCCTCTGGATTACCAGTATATTTATGCCATGTAATAATTAAGTTGCCATGGCAGGCACGGTGGCCACATGGTTAGGACGTTTATCTCTGGATTGAGCGGCCCGGGTTAAAGCCCCGTTTGGGCACAATGTTCTGTTCTTGGGCAAGACACTTTACTCTCCCAGTGAATCTCTCCACACAGGTGTATAAATGATTACCAGGGTAACCCTGCTTTGGGCTAGCAACCCACCCAGAGGGGGAGTAGAAATACCCCTAGTTAACGCTGTAACAATACATCGAACTATCAATTATCGCAATATTATCGCTGCGATAGCGATGGATCAATAGAAAAAATGAAGCAGTATGCGAACTAGTGATAGTTTCAATAATTTCTATGCTTCTGACTTTTTAACTTCTTTGGAAAATAAAGACACCGTTTTTCACCCATCTTTGATTCTCAAGGTCATAATAACTGTAAACAGTACAAAACAATCTACTGTCCAACTGCACCTAGAATGTTTTAGCAACTTGATTCTTGAACCACTTTGTGTCTAATGTTAGAGGGGGATTCTATAAATTGCCGAGGTTTGCTCCAACTTCAAACACAGCAGCCAATTTTGTAATCATTGCCAACAAAAAAGGAACGGCTTCTGGGTGGAAGTAAGTTGGCTTCATCAAAGAAAATGAAGACTCTGGCATCAAAAATGCAACAGTGGGGTGCAGATTATGCATGACAACACTGAAATATAGTGAAAATACGACGAATCTGATGGACCAAAAATGTCATAAATTGAGAGATTTGAAAGGTTCGACCTCGTCAGTTGTGCTCAGATGCCTCAAGTCCAGTTGGACCAGTAACTCAGCTGACTGAACAGAAGTCTCTCTCCCAATTCTTTCAGTGACCTTTTCCACATAATTCAAGTAGAGCAAGGGATATTTTGAATTGTATTTTGCAGTTTATCATGAAAGACTTATGCCCATTCTTAGTTATTTCCTAAAGTATAAGGCATTAAGTAAAAACAGATATTCCTGAAAACTATCACAACACTATTGCAATAGTAGCTCCACTATCGCAATACCCATGTGACCTATTGCAATACAATATTATGATTGCAATAGTTGAAATTTTCCAAATAGTCACCTCTACTCCTAGTCACTTCATGCTACAGAAACCGGGATAAGCTTTGGCCTGATGGGCCACTTGGCTTGTATGCAGACTTCACCTACCTTTTACCTAGTGCATGTCAACTATATTGTACATCTAACTTTTTAACAGAAAAATGTCTTTCAAACTAATTAAGCAAATTAGTTACTATGAACTGAACAATCATTCATTACATTTGTACTCACTATTTTAGCAAGATGTTTGGCGTATGTGAGATGTACAGACAAGTGATCTGGTTTACTCTTTAGTGATTCTTTGTACCATTTTTCTGCCTCATCAATATTTCCAGTTGCAGAGTATGCCTCACCTAGGATAGCATATTTGATTTAAATACTTAAAATCTATGCATGTTATTTGTACAATCAATCAATTAGATAAATCCAAATGTACCTAGGTACTTTTCACAGCCACTATGACAAAGCAAAGTACACTCTTCTGAAGATTACATAACCCAGGACAACATAATATATTTACAGGTAAATGAAGACATGCTAGTTTTTTGCTTGAAGTTAAATGTAAAATAAATCCAGTTATTTTAAAGTGGTACTACGACAAAAATGGCATCTTTCCTATCCAAGCCATTTTAAAACATAAACAAGTAGTCTGCATGAGGAGAAAAATGCTGTTTACGTATTTT